CGGCCCGCCTCACCGTCCATCCGCGCCCGTTGCGGCGTCCGTTCCCCTTCCCCATTCCGGCCCCCCTCCGCCGCGTCCCCTCGGGGTACCTGAGGCTTTCGCCCCACAGCTCCCCACTGATCCCCCGCGGCCACCTTGCTTGGTGGCCACTCGGCTCCCCCGGCACCGTGCACCCCACCACAGCAGGCCTGTGGGTAGTGCCCAGTCAGGCAGGGACTCCCCTGCCACCATCCAGCGCCTTGGAGATCTCCCTCAGAGAGGACATGTCCTTGGAGACTTCCTTGTGGTGGTTCTCCATGAGACACGGTGGCTGTGTCTCCTCAGGTACCCTGAGGTGGCCTTGGCTCGTGCATGGGACAGCCACCTCACCGCGCTGCAGCCCACCAGCACCCCTTTTAGATTTACCCACCATGGCCCTGTTGTGAAGAATCGCTCAATCTTGGGGAGCAGGGCCTGGCTGAAGACTAGCATATATTTGTAAATGATTTGTCTTAAACTGTATTAAAGGCGGAAGTAGAGCAGCATAAAATGTCATTGCATTCGGCAAAGCACATTAGCATTCAGGGGATTTAAAATAACTGGTTCTTTCGTAATATGTTTTACTAACAGGGGAGAAATTTGTACATGTTGAGCCCTCTAGGAGAGTTAAAGAAATACTTGAAGAAGAGCTTTATTTTCAGAAAGAAGCATGCCCTGTTAAACATCCAGCTGCAGGTAATCCTCCTTATCAACATATGGCAAGTGTCAGGGCAAATGAAATATAAATTGTTCTGAGGAACTGTGGCAAAATTATTGTTTTAAAAAAACAGCCCAGAACCTTTATGTAGTAGCCTGGGGAACATTTAGAAACAGATATTACTTTTTTTTTTTTTTAGTCTGAAATTACGGGACCATAGAGAACACAGATAGGTCTGTATGATCTATCATTTTAATAAAACAGAATCAAATGCCAAGCAGTAGGGAGGTTTTGCTAGCTTTTTCTTTGAAAGAAGTGCTGTAGTTATTAGAATACTTTGTTCCCTTCTGCTGTTGAAAAGAAAGAGTTGAGGTAAGAATGATAAAGGTCAGGGAAACAGTGAAAGCACTTAGAAAGTCTGTTTAGGCAGCTTAAAGGTTGTGGAGAGACTTGATTACAGTAGGCAAATGAGGAAATAGAAGTCTAAGATGGAACAAGGTGTTCGGTCTAGATAAACTATTAACAGTTCTGAGAACTGGAGGTAAAAATGAGATAAGATCAGAGTTTAAATAGTTAGTGGTTTTTAACGAAAAGAGAACTTAATTCTGGAACGATTTAACAAAGATCACTTAGATTCACCATTTTTAATACACACCTTGAATATTTTGCACTTAAACTGTTAGCCTGGGTCCAAGCTCATTTGCTAGTCTTGATGCAGGAATGAGCCTGAAGCTGAGGGACCCATATAAGACAAAACTTACTTAATGCCATCCTGCAGCCGTAAGATCTATTAATCAGTGTTTAGGGGTAGGTCATCTTATCTGGTTGACTGCAAGGTTTTATTGCCTTTAACAGCCAAGTCGTTGTATTTTATTAAGATATGTCTCTGTAGAGTCCACCGAGTAAGGCTGGTTATTGCACAGCTTCCCGCATTTGTTCTAGTGGTTGGTGTATTGAAAAAAAAAAAAAAGAAAAAGCACCTGATTAATAATTTGGATTTGCATGATTCAGCTCCTTGCTTTTCTTGGATATACGATAGTGCCTTTTTAGTGTCCAGGATTTTCTTCCAGAGAAGGTATATGCACACTTATTTGGTTTTGGCTCGTTAGGGACTCTCAACAATTGTTTTGCCTCCTCTTTTGAAATATGGATACCAGATCTGATAATGGTATTTCAGGATTTGTATCACTAGTAGCCTGTAGAGCGAAAGAATAATCTACTTATTTTAGAGCAGAGTTTAGCACTAGGACCTTGTACTGTACTGAACTAAGGACTGAACTAAGTCCACCACTGTATCTCCTGATTATTACACCCTCCACAAATGTAATAAGGGTACTTTTGCCTTTGTTTCCAAATTTGGAAAAGTTTGTAAAAAAAATGTGGTTTCTTTTATGTTGTATTGAGACCCAAGTTTAAACTTACTCAAAATGAATTAAAAATGTTGGATTCACAGGCAAAAACATACATAGGTTAGGTTATGTAATCAGTTTCCTGTCAGATAAAGACCATTTGAACCTGAAACTCCATTACTGTGATTAGGCTCCTTAGGCAATTACAGCACATAGCTGAAGATGAGTGACATATGCACGCTCTGTTTATAGTAAGTGGAGAGAAAAAGGCAGTTTGAAAACTCAATTCTTCTGACTTGTCCTAGATACCTGCCATTGAATGTGTCATGCTCCAAGAGTGCCTGTTCTTTTCCCATTTACTGTAAAGGAGTTCTGGACACGTAGATGTTAACATTGGTCTGCTCAAGCTGCTCATGTGTCTAATGTTACTAAGAGCTGAACACAACTACATTTCACTGCATCCATCTGCCAATGGATCAAAATTGTCCAGAATAGTTCAGTTTGACTGTATGAATGGATGCTACTGTTTATGTTCTTGTGATTTCTGGGGGGTCCCCCAATGAAATGTATGTTACAAAGGCTTGAAGTACTAAAGATAATATAGAAACACTACAAAAATATTTGTTAGAGGAATGTATAGTATGGATGTATAACACGCTCAATGTATAAATAGCATGTACAGCATAATATGTTATATGCATAGCATAACGATGCTAGGTGTAATATGGTCGAATAGGTGTTGGTGTACAGATTATTCAGCAGGTACTTAGTTCCTTTTCATCTGTAAACAGCTGGAGAATTAGAGATGCTCCCTAAGTGGCCTGGGCTCTGATGAACAACAATTGTTAGGTTGGATGGTTACTGGTTTACACAGTTTAGATTATTAGTAAATTTTGTTTTGCAGAAATTAGATGATTAGTAAATTGTAACCTTTCCACAAAATAAATTAGCTTTTTTATTTTGTTTTGGTGGTGTTTGTTTTGGTTGGTTTGGGGTTTTTTTGGGGGGAAGGGGGGGGTGGGCTTTTTGGTGATTTTTGTTGTTGTTGTTGTTGCTGTTCTGCTGTTTTTTTATGAGAACCTTTGGTATTCCAGTATGACCAGTCATCTGGATGCATCGATGGTATTACTGCTGTTTCCTGTACATTATAGATCAGCTGCATCCTGTTTCAGTTAGGAGCCTAGCAGCCCTAAGCTGTTCTACAGACAGTAGAGAGCATTTTATACCTTTAGCGATCTGAACTGCTCTCTGAAAATGTCAGTCTCTTTTCATTAACTATGGAGGAAGATTATAGTGCTCTGCTTAACAACCTCTATTTACTGTACAGACCAAAGGGATTGCATTTTTAAAGTTACATTAATTCTAGAACATGTTGAAGTAATCAGTTATAATGGTATTATTTTGACAAATTATTAACAGTGGCTCTGGAAGGAATTTGGAGTGTGAAAAAGAATTTCTCCATTCGAAGCCTGAAACGAGTGTCACAGGATGGAAACAGTTTACTTTTACAGCCTCAATTCTACTCAAGGCATGCAGGAATGAAACGTAAGAGTCAATAATAAGAAACTTTCACTATAGCATCTCATTTTAAAATTGCAGGGTAATATGATTTTATAATTCATAGATTCATTCACAGGACTGCAGATCTGCTTTGTTCCGTGTTGTTTTTTCATCAGATTGCCTATATGGTCTTATAGTAATCACCACTAGGCATCTTTTTGCAGAGCTAACCCTTCCTTTACTAAGAAGCCAACAGACTTGAAATCTTTGTATAAGAAACCTGCTTAGGACTGCTATGTTGAGTCACCTTGTTTCATGTTCTGAAACTTTCGTAAATAATCACTTGTTTCCTACTGATGAGTGGTGAGTGTTGGTTTTGTGTAGGTAATGAACCTTACTTGCCTTTCTTAACATCCAACCTTAACCAATTCAAATGTTTGGAAAAGCCCTCCTTCCGCACACCTCCTGAAGAGAGATTGATGTAGGTATCATTTCAGGTGTTTTAGCATTTGCCTGCAATGGTCAGCTGGTGCTCTGGGGCATGTATTTCTTTCTTTACAGTCAGTGGAGTGTGGCTTTTGTGGAGTAGACCTGTTCCTTTTGAGCTGGGAGATTTTAGCATAGTCTTCTCAAAGTGCCCACCTTCTCTCTTTCAGTGAAGTGTATTGTATGAACTTTGTAGTGGAAGGTGAGAGCTTCCAACCCTAACAAAACACACGTTAGCTTTGTAAGAGGAATATTGTTGGTGCCATGAGCTCGGAGAATATGTGAACTCAGCATATTTTGGCATTAAATGAAGCTTCTTCTCATGTTCTCAGGGGCTAGTGGTTTAAAAATACAACTAGCTACTAGACTATCACCTCTTCTTCCTGCCTTGATCTTGTGAGCTCTGGAGATAGTGGGATCTGAGTTACAACAGCAGCATGAATTAAGTTATTGCTGGTATAAGAAGCATTTAAGCAGTACAGCATTCTGCCGCGGCTGCCTTTACTCTAGAAGTAGTATTTGTAGGAATATTTTGATAATAGAGCAGGCCTAATCTATGCCAGGTATTAACTGCAGTAATTTCTGGTAATATACTTAAACAAATAAAATTTTAGGCACACCATAGAAAATACAGCCAAAGGATGCCTCAGAGTTTGGTGACATTGGCTGAACTCACATACCTAATGAAGGCACACAGAGTTTTCAAAGATCCTGAGCTCCTCCATCTCCTATTAAGATCAGTGAAAGAAGCACAGCTTTATAACAAAGCAGTGTATTCAGATTTATTTAGGTGCTGAAATTTATGGGATCTGTTGGTTTTCCTTTTGCAATTTAGATGTACCTTCGTTCCCAGGGACTGCTGCTGGAGACAAGTGGTGTTCTCCTCACTAGCTATCCTGCCTGTTTTGCAGCGGAATGAGAGAAGGGGTGGCAGAAAAGATACAACAGGAGGAAAACAGGAAGCAATCTGGCTTCAGCTCCCTGTTCACCAAACCATTTCCATTCACACACCCTCTTCCATGTAAGGATCCGGGGAAGAAATGAGGTGGTAATATACTAATTGAGATGGAGTAGGTACAGGCTATGGAAATGGACAAAAAAAGAAAAGGAGTTTGAAGAGAGATGAGCTTTCTGTGTTTAGTGCCAGAAGGAAAGACACCATTGAAAGGAAAAGGAAGAAGAACAGACAAAGGGACTGAAAGAGGAGACACAGAACAAAAGGTCAGGAATTCCTGAAGGAAACTGGAGAGAAGAGAACACAGTTCATCAATGCAGGGATACAAACTGAAAGAAATTAAGGAAAAAGATGCAGGAGAAATAAGTAGAAGAGTCAAAAGGAAAAAAAAGATACATAAAATGTTGCTGAATATACTGAATTTAATGCATTTATTTTTGATTCTTCCATTGACTGCCTTTCCCTAAAAGTGATAACTGGTTTGGGGGGCTATGTGGTGTCTCATCCATCCTTACAGATTTTTTTTTTAACAGATTGCTGAACTTTAGTGCTGTGAAGACCTGAGCCTGTTTTGATGTGTCAAATTAAACATTAAAATGACTAGTTGCCTTTAGAAATTTAGATCAATATTTCTAAGATTTTGAAGAAAGTTCTGCTTGGATAGAGAGGTATTTCCTTTGTTGTTGTTTTATGTATATCCTGGTACTGCTTTTTTGTCAGATTTTGTAGTAGCCAAATTTGATCCATATTTCAGCCAGTGATGTCACAATCCAAAGGTTACAAAATGTTCTTGCTGACAAAAATGTGCTACTGTGAAACTTGACATTTTCTTAGGCTTCTCTGTTCCAAAGTGATTCCAGCGAACGATTGTAATGTAATTGAAGAGATGCCTTAAAATGCCTTAGGCTGAGTCCATTGATAAAACCGAGCAGTTCATAAGCTGAGAGTTTGTAATTCGGTATCTAGCCTGATTTAATAAAAGTTTAACATAAATAAGCCTGTGATGTCTCTATATATGTAAGAGTTATCATAGTGTCAAAGAAACACAGAGGCAGCATAGAATCTGAAGTAACCTGTCACTTAACTCTCACTCTTAACCATTATAAGAGGTAATACCAAATGATCATTAGTTTGTTTTGTATTATCACACCACTTAGGAAACAAATGTAGATCCTTCTAGGTGCTGTATAAAACCAGAAAGGATAGCTTTGAAAGGTTGTGGATAATTGGAGGAGGTACCAGAGACAGGACAGAGACATGTGCAGCCACAGAGCAACTTCAGTGCTCCGGTAGCAGAGGAGAGGCTGGAAGCTCTCACCAGCACAGCACCTGAGCTGGCTGAGCCTGAACCATGCAGGGGGAATTAAAGAGTGACAGTAGTGGGAGACTCCTTGCTGAGGGAGGTGGAAGCTCCTATTTGTTGCCCCAGTGTGCTGTTTGGGGAGGTTTGTTGAGGGGCTGAGATCTGGGAAGATGTGGAGAGCATGCTCAGTCTTGTCTGGCCCTCAGACTCTTACTCCCTGCTGCTCTTCCACGTGGTCACCAACGATACTGCCAGGGGAGACATGGAGCATATCAACCACGACTGCATTGCTGTAGGGCAAGTCAAAGACACAGGTGCCCATGTGGTTTATTGTCAATCCTGCTGGTGAGGGGGTAGGGCTTGAGGAATGGATGGATCCTGTAGGTCAACTACTGTTTGCACAGCTGGTGCTGAAAATGGGGAGCTGTCTATTCTGGCAATGGGATGTCCTCTCTTTGAGGAGTAAGAACTTCTAGGAAGAGATGAGATTCACCTCAACAAGTGGGGCAAAAGCTGTGTTTGTACCTTATCTAGAAGGATCCATGATTGTTTCCTAAATGCTGTGATAACACAAGAAATATATAGTAGTGATCATGTGCCTGGCTAACCTGGGGAGGAGAACTATTAAGTAGGAGTCACAGGGGAGGGAGATGACAACCCACAATCAAGTGAGGAGGTGGTGGATCAGGTTGGTAAGCATGGTATTTCCTGTCTTCATCTTTAACAATCTAGCTTAATGCCATATTTCTAGAATAATTGTAGCACATTCTTTTCAAAATTAATAATACTTAGCACTTACCTTACAGTTTTCATTGCCAGAATTCTTCCCAGACATCCCTCCAACACATTTGTGGGATAAACAAGTGTTACTGTCTTTTTAAAGGAGGGTGTTGTATTGTACAGTGAAAAAAAAATGAACTAGGACTGATGGATATTTTAAAATCAGAGTTGAAGAGTTCCTTATGCCTAGTGCTAACTCAGACTGATAGTTCACATCTTTCCTAACGTGTGATCCTAAGAGGTAGAGATGGGATTTGTTTCTGGGGCTCTCAGATCCTGAGGAAGTCTCTAAACCACACTGAATGTTGTTAAAAAGGAAGAGTCTCAGTGACAACTTTGTGAAGCTAGACTTTGTTTGCCTTTGCTTTTTTTTACAACCGTCTGGGAGATGTTTGGTTTTTGATTGTGTGAAACTCTTCTCTGATCAGTGACAACTTTGTGAAGCTAGACTTTGTTTGCCTTTGTTTTTTTTTACAACCGTCTGGGAATGAAATTGGATGTTTGGTTTTTGATTGTGTGAAACTCTGACACTAAAAGCTTGTTTTTATTTTTATATCAGTCGATGGGGGATGGGGGAGGAGAGGGGCAGAACCCTCAGTTGGCTCCAAGCCAACCCCTTTCAGCATTTCTATTTGACTTCTAAATGCGATAGGGGATGGGGGAGGAGAGGGGCGGAACCCTCAGTTGGCTCCAAGCCAACTCCTTTCAGCATTTCTATTTGACTTCTAAATTAAAAAATTATTGGCACTGAAAATTGCACCTGAGGCACTAGAGGAGTAGTTGCTTTTGAAAACATTATTCTCACTTTTTAGATGCAAATTTGATCATGAAACACTGGGGTTTCAGATAGAGGCTTTGATTAAGCTTGTTGCATCTCAGTTCTGCTCCTTCCTTCATTTTCGTTCTACTCCTCTGCCCTTGCTTTCTCATTCTTAGTAAATTTTTTTTCATTGTCTTGTTTTATAATTTTCCAAATGAAAATACTATCTTGGTCTATTCTGGATTCCTGCACTACCTCAGTTTTGCTGCAACAAAGGCAGATTTGTGAACCTCATTTGTGCCTTTGCTCCCACTTCCATTTGTGCGACCCTGTACAATGGAGAAATGTCTTTTAGATCTTTTCTACTGAATATTGTATTTCAGTTACGAGGCTTGCATAATTCTTAGCTAGTCCGACATATTCATGTTCATGACCTTTGTATGTGTCTCATCTTTCATTTGAATAAAATGAAGCAATTTGTTTAAATATGATAGCATCACATAATATTATAGTAATGTTATTAATATTGCTATTTATAATATATATATAATGTTTCATTAAATGGGGTTTTGCGTAATTTAAATTAACTGTGTTCACATTTTATCATAGTGATTTTTTGCTGTCTAGCTGTTCAGCTACCCTTTTCTCTTAGCTTTTTAAAAATATTTTTTAATTTGCAAACTAAACGCTACTGTTTTAAAAGACAAATGTTACCATTGCTTCCATGTATTAACGGCAGTGTTCAAACACTGACATCTTTC